ACTACAGGAGACGGTTTACTAGGGTAGGGTGTGTTTTAAGCATATAAATCCTGATTTTCCCCTCTTAATGTTTCCTAACTTATTTAGTTGTATAATCTCTACTCATCTGCTTTACTTTCAACTGCAGGATTATCCTCATATGTTAAATAAAGCACACACGTATTACAAGGCTTGGTGGTGGGTGAATGAATTGTACTACTGATTCTGACACTGTTGCTTATGTTGCATCATATTAGACGTGAACACAAGGCGGGAAGTATCTGAGACATATCTGAATTAACACAATAAACAAGGAAATGAGTCTTAAAAAGTGGCAGCTGATACCACAACTGGAGCACGAAGCAAAAAGGCAAGAAATACTAGCACATCTTAATTATGGTGCAGTAAAGCAAAATACATTCTTGTTCTTTGGACTTTGAGGGCCAAAATGCAGATGGGTCAATAGTTGCCTTTTGTTGACCCAGGTTTGCTTATATCCATATAAGGCTGGCAAAATCCACCCTCTCTGCAACCAGGCCAATGCTTCTTCCCTGAATGAGATGATTCCTGAGCTGATTTGGTGTCACCAGCAAACGTGCTGGTGTGGATAAGCTCTTCTGACACTGCAATGGCAGGAGCTGTAAATGTTCATGCTCCTCTGTGTTGTTTGCAGAGGAAGCTTTTCCACACTGAAGGCAAGCAACACCAGTCAAAGCAGTTGAGTGTGTACAAGCTCCACTGCCACTGAGAGCTACAAACCAACTAATGTTCAGTTGACCCAGGTCCTAGGAACAGACTGAAGCTCTTCATTGCAGCCCCACCACTGGTAACTGGCTGCAATGCTTTTCCAGAATTCTTTTTCACAATACTTGGCCTCCATAACGCAGAAAAAATATAAAACTTGCCTTTCAGCTGCACAACTGTATAGCAGCGTCCAGTTCAGCTTGGAGAGAAGAAATCATACTTTTCCTTTAACAGTGATCAAAACAATTTAAAGGACATTAGTGGATAACCAATCTTGAAAGTACAGAGTTTCGGTGTATATATTAGAAAGATGATTAGTAAACAAGCTTAGCAGATATTTTATATCACATTCATTGTATGAAGTGCAGCAGAGTGAGACGGTCTACTCCGTCTTTTTCATGTCTAGTTTCCTGGTGTATACAAACTGTCTGCTCAGCTTTACATATAGCCGGTTAGCAACACAATTTATAGAACTAACAAATAATTTGTCTAATTGGATAAAAACCAAAAACGTATTTATTTGCTATAGGAATGTGTCTTATTTTGTGATTTTACAAGAAGAAAAAAACATACTACAGACAGCATTTTAGCAATACAGCATGTAAACAATAATCAAAAAGAAAAAGAGAGTTAGTAACAACCGAGAAGTCATCACCCCATTCCACGAAATAGAGAAGAAACTGAGTTATTTGGGAACTCATTTCCAGAGACATGAATCACAAGATGCATTTAAGATAAACCATGTATAGTAACAATTTCAAGAGAGAGGAAAACATCACAGCTAAGGCAAAACAAAGTTACATTTTACAAAGAAAGAGATCACTACCTTTTTATGAAGTGCATGGAATTCACTATACCTCTTCTCCACAAAATGTTTCCTTCCACTCATTAGCACCTCTATCTTAAAGACCTGAAAATTGTAAATAATAAGGAGATTAACGTTACTTGCACAAACAGTTCTGTGACATGGCTGTGACTGCACATTTTACCACGGTCATTCCAGTAGGTGGTCCCAAAAAACCCGTGATGACTCATGAGGCACAGAAGTACAGCGATTAATGGGAAATATGGCTGAATCTTTTGTTAACAAGTTTGCTCAACAAACATACAAAAAGACAAGTTAAGCTTGGACTTTATAGTGTACATTAAAAACTAAGCATTACGATATTCCCTTTTAGAAACATTTAATACATTTTGAAGTAGTTTAAAAAATATTAAAAAAAAGGATGGTAAGAACAAACAAAAAAGAAAAGAAATAAAGATTCATTCTTTTTTCCTCTTACAATATGGCATACTAACACACTCATACATGTTCAGTAAGAACTGGGTAACAGATGCAGTATGTTATGCATGGAAAAGAAGAAATAAATGCAAACACTATATCATGGGTTAATTTCCTCCTAACCTACAAATTCATCTGTAGTCTCAATTGAGCTTGTGCTACTATCTACACACTAGGAAAAAAAAAACCCCAAACATGGCAAATGCTTATTTTCTTTGTATGATACATGTGACAGCTTTTGTTGCTGCCTCTGGAAGGTTGAAAGGCCAGGAGAAGCAGCTCTCTGGATCCACTAATTAGCAGTCACTAACATGACATTTTCTTGATTCTCAGGTCACTGGGTCATTTCTGAGGGCAAGTGATGAGAAATATTTTGAAGTACTCAAGAAAACACAGTCTATTAAATGAAGACAAAATCAGCAGAAAAGAAATACAGAAAAGGTGCCTGGCCTATCTAGGAGTTCTTTGTTTTCTGTTTTGCTCAGAAAATGCTGGAAATAATTATTTCCAGGACAATGAGAGACAATGTTCAGGACAGATGATTACATCAAGATCCAAGACTCAGGCCAAATAAAAAGTTCTTTGAAATAAATTTACAAACGGTGTTTATGCCTGAATGCAGAAAAAAGGGGTTTCTGTCACAACATGCCCAGCTAGCATTGATCAGAGCAAACACACAGAAACCATGCTGAATAAACACTTTCTATTGTCCACTAGAACCTGCCTTTCAAACAGGTCAAAATGCTATGGTTTTCACCGGCTAGCCAAACCACATTAGAAACAGACAGCATTTTATTTAATCCAGACTGAAATGCATCCACCTTTGTTTGAATGCAGTATGGATGGGACTGCAGTCATTTCACACCAATGTTTACATTACCAAAATTAGTTCAGATCATTGTAATAACTTATGCTACATTCTACCTCTTTGAAAAGAACTATTTCTGTGTCCCACTCATGGTGAGCAGATGACCTTATTTGGGTGCATTGATTTTTTTCCCCCTCCTATCTATTTAGACTATTTTGGGAGAACAGCTATTGGCTATTGAACAATTTTCCTCTATACATGAATAAACTCCAAGGCACCCGTAGGAATATGTTGCAACTTCAGAGTTGTAAAGAGAATCACATGCAAAGAAAAATCAATGTAGGCTTTTTTCTTTAGTTGAGACTTAACATCCTAATTATATGAGAGGAAAACACTATTTACATATTATATTCCACACACTGTATGAAGAAATAGTTCTGCAAGGAGCAAAATACTCTGGATTGCACAGGAAAGCCACTATGAGTTTCAAGGATAACTTGGTGGGGAGAATAGATAACAGAATATGAAACTAGTTAAGTTAGAAGTAACCATAAGTCACTAGTTAAGGTGTTGCAACAGTTTTGAATTAACTCGATATTAAATCTCCAGGAATTAAGAGCAACTCATAACACCCTCTTACACCTCAGTCAGCTAACAGCCACTGCACCACTGTTAGTTTAGCACTTCTGTTGGCTACAAGGTTTGCTAAACAATTCGGAGAAGTCTAAGGGGCTCCTGCCTCAGCTATAAGCACTCCCTTGACAGGTAACTTTCTTGTGAATCATGGCTTGGCTTGTGCAGTCCCATTTTGGTTTTAGTCATATATGTGCCACTTCAGAGAAATGTCTTTCCTTCTGAAGTCTATAAACCTGCCATTTCACAAAGGAAAATAGTTGGAATATGGGGAAGAAAGGAAATATAAATCCCTCTGTGGACCTTCTTTTCAAAGCATCTATCTATTTTGTTCTGTGTTTCATCACTGGTTAAGGAATTACAGAAATGGCTTCAGAACACTAAAAAGTATACAGCATTTATTCATCCTCCTTTTTAATCTTAGCGAAGTTTTAATTACTGTTTCGTAATTTTTGCTAACAACATGACACTAAAGAATACATTTGCCAGTCCCTTTCGCGGAAGATGTGAGAAGAGAGAACCACAGTTTCCCATGCACGGTGATGTCATTTCCAAAACCAGATATCTGCTAGCTTCACACCCTCAACGGGTTGTACTAGTATAGAGGCTTCAACTTTGCCTCCTACCGTCCACAGACCCTGGATCCAGCTTTAGCAGCCATCTAAAATTTGAAAAGCTGGACAACAGATCTGCTATGCTTGAAGTGAAAATTACTGTTTGAAAACAAAATGCTGCATTTCTAATCTACTCCCTGTGGCACCTATATTCCAGAAATATAAAGCAACTTGTGATAAATAAATGGACAATCTGTAAATGCTTTAGTTTAATACAAATCTAAATACTAAACTGATTTACAAAGTAACTTATAAAGCAGAAATGCAAGTGAGTGAAATAACACATATTGTGCTTATGAACTTCATATTATTAAATGACTTTATTTAGACAGCATAAATTCCAAGTTTGCCTCATCGCTGTTTACCAGATCACAATTCACAAGAGCAAACTAAAAGCACAGCAGTGAGTTTCTGTGCCACTATTTCATATAATGACACGGCTTTGTGTGAAAGACAGAAAGATACATTAGCTTATGAGAGAGATAGGATCTCTTCATGGATTCAAAATAGCTATAGACAAATCTCACACAAATTTAAGTGAGCAATTGCAGGCCCTGACAGAAAAACAATGTAAGGAAACCGGTGAACATAGATGAAAGTGCCAAAATAAAGACGGGGAAAAAATGCAACACTGCAAGGAAATTACTTTTCTTGTAAAAATGTTCATGTTCTATGAACAGATAACTCTGGAAAGACATATGACTTTGTATAAGTGACAGTTAGTTAAATGAAAAATGCAACAATTAATCACTGAATAAGACAAGTAAAATGCTTTTCCCATAGTCATTGAAATACCAGAAATTACACTGCACTGAAAGATTTGCAGTTCATCTTGACTGGGACACAAGGAACCATAGATATGAAGACACCAATTAGAAAACTCTTTACAAGTACTCTGAAACTAGAAATGTCTCACCTTTCTTGGTTACTACCACAACAGTTATCAACAATGTTTGCACAAAGCCAGAAGATCATTATCCATTAAAAGCATTCTTCCAACAGAATTTAACCCGCACAAGTGATGTATGGGACAAACACCTTTGGATTGGATATCAGTATGAATAATGTTGATCTGCCTAGCAGAACTGCAGATCTGCCACTGCAATTCATAACCATCAAACCTGTGAAGGAAAGTCTTCTAGAAGAATTCCTAATGTTTTTGTTAATAAGACAGTAAAAATTTTCAGGTCCAAGTACAAAAGATATTTACATATGACTTTAAAAAAAAAACATCCCAAATTTTTTTGTCCCTCTTATTTGCCTCCACTTTGTTCCAGTGGTATGGACTATATTCAGATCTTGGAAACCATTTTCTTCATTTCTTATTGTTAGCAAGCCTAATTTTGCCATTGCCCTGAATTTATCCATTTCTGATTGTTAGCAAACCTCCTTTTTCACTGTTTTGAAGAAGAATACTTAACATTTCTCTTCTTGCTGCAGAAACTGGACAGTACTACGTAGTAACTAAATTGGATTATATACAGGCAAATAATTGGTACTATATCACTGTGAATTTCCAAGACAGAAAGCACAAATGGAAGAAAACAGGAACCAATAAGACATACAAGAACCACCCATGTCTTCCTGTAAACCCACCGGTGTTATAAGCGCACATCAAGAACTGTGTGGTAAATAACATTGATACTGCCCCCCTTCAGATCTTACCTATGTCAAATGCTTACACTGGATACAAAAAGACATATTTTATCTGATAATTTGATACGAAAATATACATCTCCAGTACCTTTGTCTCAAAAACACCTGAATGATCAGTTTAACAAAAAACACAGACAAGAATGACAAACATGACCAGGAATAGGGAGGAAAACTACAGAGAACAGTTAACTTCTCAGCTTGGTTTTCTATTACGTAAGAAATATACAGATGGCACTTTTATATTAACTCATGGAAATTACATTAACCACAGAGTTCATAATTATGGTAAATTAATACTATCATGTTGTATATATTTATACATGGAAAAATGAATTGCAAAGTATATAAACTTCTGAAAAATTACAGATGAGAGAGAGATTTGGGGCAGCCTTGTTTAGAATGAGGAGATACAAAAACCAGAAGCGGAAAAAGAGAAGTTTACAAAAAACAGATACATTTGTCTAACATTCACCAGGAAAGAAAACCCCACAAAATTCTAGTACTGTGCTTCTCTCTCTCAAGACCAAGCTTACCAACACTAGTTCTATTTAATATATTACTTACAGAAATAAATACATCCCTTCAGATGATTCAGTACGCTTGACAGACTTTTGTCTGAGGAACAGCTAATGCATTCAAAGTGTCAAGAAACTCAACCTTAAACCTTTGTCATGGCCATATGGAAGGAATTCCAGAGCAAATGAAATGACAGCTACGGTCCACGAAACAGTAATAGGATTTCCAGTGTTTAGTGTTTGATTATTGTTCACACAATGGCACATTTTCTGTCTCAGTTGTGCTATGACTAGAACAAGACCACAGCATATAGTGGAGATCAAAAGATGACTTTAAACCTATTCTCACCCACCTGATGCGGGGGAAAAAATTATTCCACAGAATTTTAGAGCACCTGTGTG